GTAGTATTGGTGCCTACCTGTGATCCAAGAGCTTGAAAAGTGAAAACCCGGAGGAACCGAAGTTCAAGGTCATCCTCAGCTGCAGGCTGAGCTCAAGGACAATCTGGAGATCCTGTCTCAAAGCACAAAAATAAAATAAAAACACAAAAATGAGGACCAAGGAGCTGGCTCAGCAGTTCAGAGTGTGCACTGCGGAGGACCGCAGCTGGGTTCCCAGCACCCATGCTGAGTAGCTCACAATCGCCTACAAATCTGGTGGGTTGGAGGCTATGGAGGCCTCCTCCAGGCTGCACACAAACATACACATAGATATAAATAAATTTTTTAAAAAATTCGTTTTTCAAGACAGGGTTTCTCTGTGCAGCCTTGGCTGTCCTGGAACTAACTCTGTAGACCAGGCTGGCCCAAATTCAGAGATCCATCTGCCTCTGTCTCCTAAGTACTGGGAATAAGTGTGTGCCACCACCACCTGAATTAAAAAAAATTCAAAACAGGGGGAAGAAAGGATGCCTGGTTTTGGGGGAGGTTACAAGATTAAGTTAGATAACACTTAAAATCACTGGTGCTTAATAAATAGCTACTTAACATAGCTGTATCTAATTATTGCCTGAGTGCTTAAACTGCGGGAATCCTACAGAGATTTCTAGGGATGGCCCCTGAGTGTGAAACTCAGAAGATAATCACTAGAAACAGTTCATACTTAACATTCTCTAATTGCAATTCTGTTTGTTATTTGCCGATCTGCAACCCTGTGAAGTGCAGTTCTGTATCCCTTCCTGAGAGGAGGCTCAGTGAGAAGGTGACCTCTACAAGGCAGACCTCTGTCAAGACGCTCTTGCCCCTAGAGAGCATGAGGGGCCGCTCTGCTTTCCCTGTGGAAGCCTTTGATAACCCAAGACGGATGACTCCAGCCATCTTAGGAGGAGTTCTCAGTTTTGGGTGGGCAGGAAGAATCTTTGGTTTCCCTTGCTCCTTTGCAGCCGCCGCCACTGTGCCTGGGTCAAGATCCTGCAGCCGTCCCGTCTCCACCGCCACTTACGAGCAGTGTGACACTAGGCTAAGCATTCACCTGTCTTTGCCACACCTGTAAGCCTCACCGTCACTCACTGTCCCCCCCCCCCCCCCCCCCCGCACTCCTGCTCACAGTGACTGGGAAGGACCTGTGGAGCTCTCCTCTTGCCCATTCGCCTTCTCAGGATCAGTGACAGCCCCTGGATAACCCTCTGCTCCTTCAGGAACCCCCCTCCCTGCAGCACGAGGACCCTAAAACGTCATGCACTGGTGTCTAACATCGCCGTCATCTCTTGAACTCTTCTGCCTTCACCACTAGGTAGAGAGATCTCGACGTAAGAACAAGGTCACCGCTTCGCCCTCAGGTTGCTCCGGAGTCACTGCACTGAGCTCTTCTCGGTGAAAGGAGGCTCAGCCATCACTCGTGAAGTTGCTGCGTGTGTTGTGTGGGGCCCCCAGGGTCACCCCTGGAATCCCAACCTTAGTAAAATTGCATGATGGCTCACTTCCTGGAGAGACTATCCCAGCCAGTGGAGCGTTTCAATAAACAAACAATAAAAGTGGAGAACGAATGAGAGCGGGGGAAACGTGGGGTCCCAGGAGGAGCGCTGGAATCAGACTTGGCTAGAAGCGGGGAAGACATTCAAAGCCAGAGATTTACGACTGGGAATTTTGTGTTTCCACACGGACCTGCCTGATCCAGAAGAGTTAGCAGACAGCACAGGACGCAGTGCCAGAACGACTTGGAGAAGGCAGGACACCTTAGATTCATTTCACTTGGAAAGAATTCTGAGTTTGTACGTTCCAACAGCCTTTCACGGTTGCAGTTACTGGAACGTATACATGCCCGCTGCTCCACACCTATGCCCCACCGCCATATACAGGAACTCATCTTTTAAGGATCAGTGGGAAAGGGGCTTGCTTTGCAAGTGTGAGGGCTTCAGTTTCGTCCCTAGAACCCATGGCTAAAGCCCAGCATCGTGGTGTGTGCCCGTAATCCTAGCAATGGTGGAGACAGCAACTCTGGCTTACATGGTGAAGTTCCAGGTCAGAGAGACTATCTCAAACAAATGGTTTCAGGTACCTGAGGACCAACACCTGAGATTGTCCTCTGACTTGCACACATGCCGTACACACATGCACACCCACCTCATGACTGTCTGCATACACACATAATATTTTTTAAAAGATCATACTTTCTTGTTCCCGCCTCCCCCTGATGTTTATGCTCCCCCTCCCCCCAGGATTAGTCTTCCTGGATTCTTGTGTTTGACTGAGTGGTACTAAATGCCTTTATTTCAAAATTTTGGGTCCCATTTTTTCCTATTCCGCATCCTTTCACATGAAAAACCTGGGGCATCCCTGGCTCTGCTAGTCTTAATGAGTCTGTGCCAGCAGGGTCAAAGTTAGGGTCTGAGTATCAATTGCATTAGTCCTAACAATGGTCTATGTTTTTAAAAATAATGTGTTAGTTGGGGCTAGGTTTGTAGCTTGTCTACTATGTGCAAGGCCCTGATACAACCACAGTACCACACCAACACACACACACACACACACACACACACACACACAAAGCAAAGTGTTCTTAGAGCCATTAACAAAGCTTTGGGTCTCTGAATATGCCTGGAAGTGGGATTTTAGAACGCTAAGCTTGTAGTTTTATTTTGATGAAACCTTCAACAGTCAGAAGTAAGTCCACCTTAAAATCCTATCTTAAAAGTCCCTTCCAGGGACTGGAGAGATGGCTCAGTGGTTAAGAGCACTAATTACTCTTCCAGAGGTCGGAGTTCAAGTCCCAGCAACATTATGGTAGTTTATAACCATCCATAATGAGATCTAGTGCCTTCTTCTGACCTACAGGAATCATGCAGGCAGAGCACTATATATATATATATATATATATATATATATACACACACAAATATATATACACATATATATATAATCTTTTTTTAAAAAAGTACCTTACAGCATGTGGTGGCACACACCTTTAATTCCAGCACCTGGGAGGCGGAGGCAGACAGATCTCTGTGAGATCAAAACCAGCCTGGTCTACAGAGCAAATTCCAGAACAGCCAGAGCTACACAAAAAAAGCCTGTCTCAAAAAAAAAAAAAAAAACAAAAAAAAACTAAAAAATAAAGTCCCTCCCAACCATCACTTGGTTTCCCAAAGCCTTGTCTCCCACAGTCATCTTGTCCCGGGTTCTCATAAGTGGCATTTAAGCAAAGTCTTTCTCATTAGACCATTAGCTGCTGAGACATGTCATCCAGCAGAGCTCCAGGTTTGCTGTGTGTCGGCGGCAGATATGCCAAACAGGTAAGATTTAACTATACTCTACGCCTGAGTCATTTCTTTAATTAGTCACAAAGGAATTAGGTAGTCAAAGAGCCTAGAGCATGACTTCTGTGCCAAGAGTTCATTCCCCTAAGGGAAGGAAATAGGCTGACTGCCTGCTCGCCATAAAAGCGTCCAATCTCTGGGCTCGGGCTTTCTAGGCAGAGCACTCCCATATGACATGGAAAGCTGCCATCCCAGCGATTTGCATTGACCTCTCGGACTTGCAGACAATGGAACTGCTGAAAATTTTCTCTATCTGCTGAGCTGGGCCAAGCTTCTGGTACCCTGGGGCTCCCTGATGTCGTCACGAGGCGGAGAGCAACCCCTCTTGCGTCGAAAGTGACATCATCGCTGGACAAGCCCAGTCAGGTACTCTGTCGGAGTCCTGTCTTTATGGGTCAGATGGCCACAACAACTTAACCCACCCAGTGTCTTTCTGTGTTGTCTCATGAGGCGGCCATTGTAACGGCCCACATTTAAAGTACTAGAGGAAACAGAAATGTCAGTTCCTGACACTAACCACTTCATCCAAGAGCTCCCTCTTCACGTCTGGCTAAGATGCGCTGTGTCGGTCAGCAGTTAGGCCATTTCTGTCACCAGAGAGTATTCTATCGGATAGCGCTGCGGTAGATGAATGAATTCAGGAACTTGTTTTCAAAGACGCCGGATGTATGGGAGGAGTACAAAAAAAGGCTCAGCGGGGCTAGAAAAGAGTGGCAAGCGGTGGTTGCTGCCAGTGCGCATCTGCCCACTCATCCATCCACCTCTCCAGTCAGCTAGCCTCCAGTTACTCTGGTCCATTGGGCCCCGCTGCTAAGAACACACTGTTTTAGGAGGAACCGGGGCTGTGCTGCAGCTGCTGTTTCCAGAGGGGCCTCCAAAAAGCAGGACAAAAAAAAAAAAAAAAGAACCTTCTCTCTCCACATATTTTCCAGTCTCCTGTCAACACTGCCATCTAGCAAGGGGATGCGGTAAAAAACAAAACAAAACAAAACAAAAACCTAATTTGCAAGTTTTCTATATTGCCTGTAATACAGAGGAGGGCATAGAAAGTGGGGCTCTCCATTACCCTTTCTCATTCCTCTCCCACTTCCAGTGAACCCCTTCTTCCCAGCCTCTCCCTCCCCTCCTCTCTCTCTGATCCATGAGTTTACTTAGGGTTACTTGCATGAACGTAAACAACGTACTGGTGGTTATACCAGTAGAGAGAATGACCCCCACCCCCAGAAACCATTAGCTTAGAGTAGAGGGGGTGGGGCCTCATGAGCTGCCAGGGATGGATCTTATAATAAACAGATCACAGAAGAGGGGTTTTATCGGTGATGATATTGTTAGGATAAGCAACCTAGAGCTCATGTCCCTTCCCTCGGTGCTAACCACTCTCTGTGTCCCTAATGTTCTTACCTTTTCACTGGCTTCTACTACCCGAGGATCTTGCATTCCTGGTCCCTTTCTCTTCACGTGGCTAGCCGGTTTCATGCTTCAGATACCATGTTCAGCATTTTCTCCTCAGAGAGACATTCCATGAAATGACCTTGCCGACGTGCCTAAGCTGGCCTCATCCCCACTTCCTGCTCAGCCATCCCCCCCCCCATCTCACCCCTGTTAATCTGACTGGGTTTGTTTCTATTGAAAACCATCCTCTGTGCTTATTCTCCCATTGCCAGAATGCAAGCTCCAGGGAGGCGGGCAACTCGCTGCCTTGTATCAAGTGCGGTCGTCACAGTGGCAGAGTGGTCCTCAGTAATTGTATCACCCGAATAAACTGTTTCCACCGACTCTTCAACTATGTACTCTTTCTTGTCTCCCTGGGTGAGGTGTTTCTGCTACGCGTCCCCAGAGGACCCACAGGGCCTCTCATTATAACACTTAATTACAATTACAGTTGGCCCTTTGACAGAGCAACAGATGACCGAAGCTGTTGGGCAATCTATCATCTCCAGTCCTACGCAAGGCTGGCTGGCACTGGGGATTCAGCTATGAGCAAGGCAGACGCGGTCTCTGTTTTCGCTCACGTTATAGGTTTATAAATTCCACCCCTACAGGTTCAGCCAATCAAGGACTGAAAATAGACAGGGAACAAAGCTACCTCCACGCTGAAAATGTACAGACACGGTTTCCTTGTCATTAGTCCCTAAGCAATACAGTACAACTGTTTACACAGTCCTTCCATTGAGGTAGGCATTGCAAGCACTCTAGATAGGATCTGAAGTATGTGGGAGGATGTGTGTGAATTGTATGTAAATATTATTCCATATTAAGTCAATGATCTTAGCATCTGTGGGTTTGAATGTCTGCTGAAGACCGGGATGGGGGTTCTAGAACCAATCTCTCACAGCTACCAAGGGATGCTATACTTTATACTTCTCCCCTTGCTACATCATAAACTCAGGGAAAGCAGGGACCATGTAGGTCTTGCTCCTAGGTGAATCCCCAGAACCAGCATGGCACAGCGCTTGTAGTATAACTGGACATAATAAATTACCTGACAGAGTCAGTCAGCAGATTGTTCTGGCAAAGGGTCTAGGAAAAGATTAAGTGACGGGCATGAAGAAACCAGGCAAAAGAAAACAAGATATGACTACCTTTTCTCCAGGAAAAGCTAAACTCCAAATAAGAACGGAACTGAAATCATAGAGCCCTACACAGCTCAACTAAGAAGTGCATGTGTATATACAGACATGATCAATGCCCACACAACTGCTTATAGGTGACCAGTTGGTTTTATGTCCCTTGCATCCCTGTGTGTTCTAGAAGGAGGAAGGAAAGGGCTAAAGGTCTCTATAGATCCACATTCCAGAGTCCAGCCAGAGCTCCTGAGAGAGGGCAATAATGCGATAGGAACTAATGCATGACTCTGCTAAGTCTCACAGGGCTCTAGGAAGTAGCCCGGTGAGCAGTATTTGGCTGTTCCAGCTGAGGAAACCGAAGCTAGGAAAACCAAAGTGATCTGCTGAAGATGAAGCTGGCCCAAACCCAGCTCTGTTGACTCCACACGCCTTTCTCTGGAACTACAGGGGTGATGGGGCTCTGCCTACCTTACCCTTGTCAATACTTTGCTGAGGAAGGAAGGCAGGCCAGAGAGGAGCCCTTTGTAAGGTGTATTAACACGGCACTGCAGTCATTAACATCATACATGTTTATCTGTGTCGACGGCCGCTGCAAGCCCCTCACTTTTCCTGGATCTTAGTTCTCATTTCTCTAAGAGGAGGTTGAGCTAGTTTAACTGGGTCACATACACTGCGGGGCCTAGCACAGAACCTAGCACAAATTTCTCTCACCCTTCTGCAAGTCAACTCCCAGCTCCAACGCTAGAGGCCTCCCAGACTCCAGCTGGAATGATGGAGTGTATGTACAGCCCAGGGCGCAGCCTCTTCCCAGGCTGGCTGTGGAACCCAGCCTCCTCTAGACGGCAGGGCCGCTCGGCACAGATCAGATCCAGAGCCTCATTAGTCATGTCGGATGACATTGCTAACTTTGGGGCGGCATAGCCAGTTCATCAAAAGCCTCTATGTGCTGGCCCACCCGCGGCAGCCGAGGAACCGCTGTGTGTGAAGCCGGCAGCACATCCGAGCAGCGCCAGAGGGCTTCCACATCGGTTTTTGATTAATCATGCAGACATGTCTTTAATCGGTGCCAGGGTAGCGGCCGGGGAACTTATGGGAAAGCAGGATGTTATGCTTTGGTTCCCCGCAGTCCCATAAAGCAATGAAAGATGAGGGACAGAATCACTGCTCCTTGGACGTTTATCGACCATGCAGACCCAGAAAACACAAATAACTATCTGAATCCAAACCTGACCTTATTTTCCCAACTCGCCGGAAACCATGAGTGTTCCCCTCTGCCTGACCTGCCTGCGTGCCTGTCTACCGAGATGGAGAGCTGAGCAAAAGGTATGAGTTCTAAAAGTGCTTTAGCCTGAGCATATCCTCAGTTTTCCCCCAACCTTCCTGAGAAAGATGCCTGGAGGTATCTACCTCAAAAGGTGCCCACCTCCTGCCCATCACTTCTTATGAACTGATGTTAGAAGTGCTCACTCTTGTCAGTGGTGGTCAGAGGCTGGGATTAAAGGTTTGGTGGTACACCCCTTTAGTCCCAGGACTCAGGAGGCAGAGGCAGGCAGATCTCTGTGAGTTCGAGGCTAGTCTGGTCTACAAAAGACATACTCATTCTTTTCCAGTCCTTGGAGACTTAAGTAAGACATGTGGAGTGAGCTGGGCATGGTGGTAACATGCCTTTGATCTCAGTACCCAGAGAGACATTGTCTTAAAAATATATGTGTCTGTTTTGTTGTTGTTGTTGTTGTTTTTTAAGGCGAGGTCTCACCATGTATCACTGACTGTCCTGGAACCCACTATGTAGACCAGGCTGGCCTCCAACTCACAGAAACCTGCTTGCACCCTGATATGGTAGAACATGACTTTAATTCCAACACTCCGGAATGCAGAAGCAGGGAGACCTCTGCGAATTTAAGGCCAGCCTGGTCTACAAAGTCTGTTCCACCTCAGCCAAGGCTACACAGTGAGACCGTTTCTCAAAAGAAGACTCATACTTAGTGTAGTCAATGGCAAGCCCTGCTCTGTTGCCATAGGAAACAGGGAATGGAGTCAAATACAGAGCTTTCCCTCAAGGAATGGTGATCCAGGAGAAAGGGGGTGGGTCTACAACATGAACTGGCATGGTGACATCACATGACAGAGAAGATCAAGTATCTGGGTATGGTATCAGGAGGACTTGGGTTCATAGCTGCAGAGGCTGGAGAGATGGCTCACAGTTAAGTGCCCTTGCTGAAGCACTTGCTGGACGGTGTTTGCACTCGCCTTTAATCCCAGCACTTGTGAGGAAGAGCCAGATATCTGTGAGCTTGAGACCAGCCTGGTCTGCAAAGTAAGTTCCAAGGTAGCCGGGACTACACTGAGAAACTGTCTTTAAAAAGCCAATAAGCCAATAAATAAATAAATAAATAAATAAATAAATAAAGCACTTGCTACTTGCTGCTTTTGCAGAGGACCTGAGTTTCATGTCCAGAACCCACCCTGGGAAGCTCACAACCACCTTGGCTCCAGTTCCAGGGGATGCTGCCCTCTTCTGGCTTCCTTGGGCACCTGCACATATGTGTGCACACAAAGACAGATACTTCTATATATACATAATTAAAAATAAAATACATCTTAAAGTTGTTTACTTGTTAAAAGAAAAAAATCTCAGGGGGCTGGAGAGATGGCATAGCAGTTAAGAGCACCATTGCTCTTCCAGAAGAGCGCCCACACGGTAGCTCACAACCACCTGTAACTCCTGTTCTAGGCAGTCCGATTCTCTCTGCAGACACAACACATGTGTGGTGCAGACATCCATGCGGGCACACACCCACAATTCATAGATGTAAAATAAAAATACTAGTTTGTTTTTATCCCTTTATCGGTTATTTTTTTTTAAAACTGTGTGTATATGCATGCCCGTGTGTGGGTTTGTACTCATCCATGCAGTGCCTGCAGATGCCAGAAGTGGGAGTCAGATCCCCTGGAGCTGGAGTTATAGGCAGTTCTGAAATGCCCTGTATGGGGTGCTGGGAATTGAATCCTGGTCCTCTGCAAGAGGTATCAGAAGGACTCTAACCCCGACCCTGAAGGGGTGCGACCCCGTGATGAGGACCCCAGGGAGGGGACCAGGAGAATTAAATCAGAAGACATTAATCGAGGACAGATCATCCGTTGCCACCCAGCCTGTCCCCTGGCTCACACCCCGCTCTCTACTCCACCCTGTCTGCAGACCGTAAGACAGCTAAGGTGTCATTTCCTGTCGGGGTCAATCAGACCAATGTGTGGTGTTTGCTCTAAGTTCTTACCCCCTCCCCCCCAGGTAGAGACATCTACACCAGTCAGGGTGGAGGCCCAAGCAAAGCTGGCCTTTCCACATGGTGGCAACAGAGGAGGTGGGGTGACTGCTTCCCGCTCCAACCTTCCTGGCTCAGCTCCTGGGTGATTTTATGTCTCTGGTCCTGAATCTGCGTCTTGTGCATGCACCGCAGTCCACTGGCTGCAGCACTGACGTGGGACTGTTTAACTGCGGCTGCTTCCTGGCCCAGAGATTCCGGCCTTTGGAGAACATGGGAAAGAGACAAGAAAGAGAGCTTTATACGAGGGAAGCCTTGACAGCGGTAACGACGGCCAAAGACTAACTTAGATCTGCACAGAGCCTAACGATTTACAAAGCCCTGGAGACCTCTATTCATCTTTATGACCCTGTGCAAATGTCACCTCTTTTTACTGAAGGACCGCTCTCCCAGGCAGAGTTGATCCTTCCACCCACACTTGGTGAAATTTCCATTATCCTCCTTATTGCCTTGTAAGAAAGGTATGTGTGTATGTATCCCATGCCTCCCATGAAGTCATCAGCTCCTTGGGGGCAGATCGCTTTCCGGCCATAAAATGTGTATTTTTTTCTTCTTTCTTAAAAAAGTAATCTTAGTGTTCATTATGCATAAATTTATAATTGTAAAAGCAATGTTTACATAAAATAAAAATAAAAATAAATAGTATACATAGGGCCAGCTAGCTGGCCGGCTCTGTGGGTAGAGGTGCTTGTTGTCAAACCTGATGACATGTTCAGTCTCCCGGACTCACACGGTGAAGGAAGAAACCCTACCTCTGCAAGCTGACCTCTGACCATCACTGCACACTGTAGGATATGCACACTATAAATGAATTTCAAAAACAGTATGCAAGCCAGGAATGGGGGCACACACCTTCAAGCCCAGCACTCAGGGGAAGAAGCGGGCAGATCTCTGTGAGTTCAAGGCCAGCCTGCTCTACGTAGTGAGCTCCAGGACAGTCAAGGCAAGAGCCAATCAGCCACCTTCAGGTTCAGTGAGAGACCCTGTCTCATACAACTTAGCAGCGATGGAGAAAGACGCCCAATGTTGACCTCTGCACCCTGCCTTCCTGTGGTAAGCAGGCAGGCACTCCACTCAGGAGACTTTTAACTGGACAGAGTATTCAGCGTGCCCCTCATAACACCTTGTGTATTCTACCACATCGAATGATTTTGTCTCTCTGTCTCCTATTCCCCCTTTCCCTCTGCTCGAAACCATCTTTCCTCCTCAGGCTTCCTGTTTTTCTGTTTGAAACATGTTACTATGGAAACAACGTAGCATGATACAGTGGGGTTTACAAGTGAAGTGTTGAGAATTTTGAGAACCTGCAGAAACGCAAGTCCGAATTATGTGACAGGATTCATGACTTCATACACCGTGTCATAAATACAAACACGGAAATATGAGCCAGCGGCGAGGAGATAGCCCGGCACTTTATCCGGGTTTATGTGTCCAGGTTTTCATTTTCTCCGTGAGAAACTCTAAAAACGCAAAAGTGCAATGTACAACTTGGGAAGAACATCTGGAAAAGGCGAAAGGCAGAATGACCAGCAGGTGTGAGTGGACACCCCGGGGTATGTGGGGAACCTCTGCACCAAGGTTGTATCTTGACCATACTCCTCAGAGCTCTGCACCATGGTCTGTGCCTTGACCGTATTCCTCAGAGTTCTGCACCATGGTCAAATGCAAGACACCTTAAGGACAAACATTTTAGTAAAAGAAATGATTATGAAGGACATCATGAAAAAAAACCCATCTGACTGGCTTGGATAAGCTCAGGGTCCCTTGTTCCTGTCCCAGCTCTGCCATCAAGCCGATGTGTAACTCAAGAAGCTTCGGACCTCCCTGGACCTATTCGTAATCTAATTTGGGCTTTAATTCTGATTTGTTACTTATTAGGTTCTCTTTATTTTTCTTTTTTTTTCTCTCTCTCTCTCTCTCTCTCTCTCTCTCTCTCTCTCTCTCTCTCTCTCTGTGTGTGTGTGTGTGTGTGTAGGGACATGCTTGTGCCATGGCACACATGTAGCAGTCATGGGATAAGTTGTGGGAATTGTCTCCTCCATCATGGAGGTTCCAGGGATTGAACTCAGGTCATCAGGCTTGGCAACAGACCCCTTTACCTAATAAGCCCCACTTACGAAGTTCGTAAGGTGAGGGCGATGTCCAGTCTCCTCCAGGAGATAGGGTTTCAAACCAGCTCTTAGGCCAATGCTCTGGGGCCTTTCTCCTTAAGAGGACCTAGTGATAGCACGAGCTTCACAGCGACCATTCCACTGCATGTTTTGCCTCTCCGCTGCCTTTTGCTCATTTATACAATGACTGTAAAGGCAACAATTCCAACCTTCTGTTTTCTTTATAGGAGTTGGGTCCTTACAACCGTGTTCTGGGGAAATTAGTCTTGTAAGGCAAGAGCCCACAGAAGGTACATCTCTCCACATCTAGTCCTTTCCCTCCGTCCCACAGAGCAAGGCAGCAGTTAAGGACAAGAGCTATACCTTCGGTCTAGAACAGAGCAGACCCAGAGAAAGTCAGTTAGTGGCTCTTTGTTAGATAATTTGGAGGAGGAGGCTGAGGAAGGGATGGAGCTGGTAAAGGCTTCCAGTGCCAGGGGTAAACTTCTGGCTGCTTCCGTAAGCATTTCTCAACTTCCTAAATTCTCGACAAGTAAAAATATCAACAAACCGCACGTGAGAGCGGAGCGTCTTTTCAGGCTTTTTGTCAGCACCCCCCCCCCCTTGTCTCTCATAAATAACACAGTAGCCAATTCTAACTCTGTAAGCCCTGCTTGCTTCTCCAGTGTCTGGTGTGGACTCAGAGTGCAGCTTTCCTTGAAGAAGAGCAATCATGAAAATGATTGTGCGTGTTGTGCTTAGACGGCAACAGCCCTGCATTTGTGGACCTCACACCTGCCA